GTTTAATAAGATCATAAGTTTCTCCTCTCTCTTTTTTCTCTCTCAGTCTTTCGCATAAGATCCACCTCCCTCTTTCCTAAGAACCCAGGAATGTCAGACTCTCTATAAGCATGAGCTGACCTGAATCATAAAGGAGATTCCGAGCCAGATATTAGAACTTCTTGTTGGTACCCCTAGATATCTTTGCATTTAGTTAGCCATAGTACTTTTGTTCCCCATTAAGTAGGGATGCTGTGTGGCTGAAGATATTCCTAAAAGACACGAGCCTTCATATTTAAGACAAATATGTTACGGACAGATTTCCAAGGTACTCCAACTGACTAATCAATTCAATCCATTTGGGACTGAACAGAACAATCATGAGTTGTCTTGGCATTGTGCCGATGAAGTTTTAGCCAGAGTCAGTCGACTTCTGTGAATCTTTCATTCCAGCTTCTTGGCCCTAGTATGCAAACCAGTTGGTAGATGTTTTTTACTTTTCTCTCCTTAAAAAAAATAATAATAAATGATTTTCCTTGTATTTTTTGGCAAATTCTACCTGAACAAGTCTAAGCTTGATATTAAACTATTTTACCAATTATCCTCATGGTAATGTCAAACACGGTGTGCTTAATTTATTAACAATAAAAATAATTACATTTGCTCTAAATAATAACAGCATATACCTGTCAAGGTTCATAGGCTATAATTTTTTATTTGTGTTTCTTTGCATGTGGTTTCCAATAAATTCATTTTCAATAATAAAATTCTCAAAATGATATTCTCGGTTTTGCTGTGTTGTCACTTGGGAAACTTGGACAATCTCCTTTAGGACAGATGTGGCTGAATGCCTCATACTTGAACAAGGGCTATCTTTTAATCGAGTGACCACTGGGTTGCAATTAATAGAAACTAGATAAAAAACAAAATGTACTTTACCAAGAAAGTGTTTTAAAAATAGAAACCAGAGCAAAAAGTATTTGCCAATGAACCAGAAAGTTCCATTAACCAGAAAGTTCTTACTCAAAGCATTCTAACTCATCCAATTCCAGGCTTCTATTCATTCATTCATTCCATTAAGAGGTACTGAGCATCATGATCAACCAATTATTGGGGACACAGAGATGGGGTGTGCATTAATCTGTTCTCACATTGCTATAAAGAAATGCCTGAGACTAGGTAGTTTGTAAAGAAAAGAGGTTTACTTGGTTCATGGTTCCACAGGCTGTACAGGAGGCATGGCTTGGAAAGCATCAGGAAACTTACAATCATGGTAGAAGGCGAAGGGGAAGTAGGCACATCTTACATGGCCAGGGCAGGAGGAAGAAGTGAACTAGATCTTTTAAAAAAAACCAGAAGAGAACCAGATGTTTTAAAGAACCAGATCTCATGGGAACTCACTATCACAAGAACAGCAAGGGGGAAATCTGCCCTCTTGATCTAACCACCTTCCATCAGGACCCTCCTCCAACACTGAGGCTTACAATTTGACGTGAGATTTTGGCAGGGGCATGGACCCAAAGCGTATCAGGGTGCTGGTATCTTTGCCTTCAAGGAGCCTCATCTTCCCCCGCTTGGTATTCCTTCCTTCAGAGTGTCTCTGTTCATGTGCCATTGCTTAAAAATAATGCAAAAGGCAGGAGTGGGTTAAGGAGAACTTATAAAATAGTCATTCACTCTTACTTTTTTTTTTATTTTTGAGAGAAGGTGTCACTCTGTCACCCAGGCTGGAGTGCAATGGCACGATCTCGGCTCACCGCAACCTCCGCCTCCCGGGTTCAGGCAATTCTCCTGCCCCAGCCTCCTGAGTCACTGGGATTACAGGCACACGCCACCATGCCCAGCTAATTTTTTGTATTTTTAGTAGAGACGGAGTTTCACCATGTTGACCAGGATGGTCTCGATTTCTTGACCTCATGATCCACCTGCCTCGGCCTCCCACAGTGCTGGGATTACAGGCTTCAGCCACCGCGCCCGGCCCTAAATTTCTTAAATATTAACTTTGAACACTGGAATTGTGGGCTTTGTTAAAATGAGTACTTAGGTAAATTTCTGTGGAATGCAGTACTCATTGGCTTTAAGGAAAATACAACTCAAAGTTTAAAAAACTGAATTCGGTAGGTCAGTAAGACAGACATGATTATTTCCTATGACTGGCACTTAAGGCTCTAGCACTTAATAAATCTCCTAATACCTCTGTTATCATCAGGCCTTTGTCCTGCTCAGCTGCAGGAGCAGTGGTTCTCCAACCTGGCGCACACCCTCACTATCACCTGGAGGACTGGTAAAAGTCCCCATGGCTGGGGCTTATCTCCTGAGTCCCTGATTTCTTAGATCTTGGCTGGGACCTGAGAATCTGCATTTCTAACAAGTTTCCAAGTGATGCTGCTGGTCTAGGGACCACACTTTGAGAACCATTGATCTAAACAAATGTCTCTCCAAGGGCCATGTGCAGATATGAACTAATTGTTACTGATCTGCAACAAAGTAAGCACGGAAATGGAAAGTATACATTTGGAATGTTTTATAATTTGACACTTTTATGGCTTCTTAGTGCATGATCAGTGCGCACACATCATTAAATAGGGGATAGATGAGTTCAGAGCTGTCACATTTGCATCATGAGGCATATGTGGGGCAAGGTGCTGCTGGAGCCCACATTTCATTCCATGGCAGATTGAAAACATAAAACACTGGTCATTCACCATGCATAGTTTGAGAAGCACCGCTTCCTAAACCATCGTGCTATATTGCCTCATTATTTAAAAAACAAACAAATAAATGGCTAACACACAAATGAGTCAGGTTCATTTTTTCTCATATTGTATGGGATGGGTAGGAAGAGGAATGGGCCAGACCTTGGCCTGGCACCCACTTCCTCAGGAGGCCCAGGGGAAAGGGACAGGGCTGAAAAGACTGGCCCCAAGTGTTGACACTACACATCATTCTGGGGGCAGGTCTGAACAGAGAAATTCTGACTTGACCAGTCAGAATTAGGGTGCCCATTCCTGCTTGAGGACTGAAGTGAGTAAGCAAGAAGGTTGGATGCTTCCCAGTGAGGTTATGTGTCCCTCAATTACAGGCAGTCAAGGTGGCTTGAAATCCAATACAGAAGGTTCTCAATTGCCACAGATTAACTAAACCTGAGGTCTGGGAAACTGACTTACTGCCTGGTCTTAAGCATGACTGCGTTCTGCAGATGGAGACCAAAAGCAGCCCTGGCCATAGCACACCTGGTAAGGCAGGGCTCAGGGAAAGGGAGGGTTAGAAATCATCTCTTGATCTCAGCTACTTGGACTGGCATTTTCTTTCATATCTTCAAACAGTTTTATTAAAATTCCCAATGATCCGATTCCTAATTATGAGGATTCTATGGTTCTCCACCATCAATTGTAGGGTCCTCTTGAGCTGACTAGAAGGACATGTGAATGAGGCCTTCTCTGATTTTAAAGCTCGATGAATGTGCTTCAAATTGACTTTGCTAACTGTCTTTCCTAATGGATCTCCTGATAGCTCTACAGTTTCACTAGCAGCGATTTATTTTTTAATATTTTGCACTTCAAGCTCTGATAAATTCAGTGTTCTTTCTAAGCACTTGTACAAATTAGATTGCAGTCGGAGGAGCTCAGCATTTTTACATGTTCAATACATCAAGACCAGATAAGCAGCTGTCGCAGCTGTCTGCTTATTTCTCTGGTCTTCACTGAAATCTGCCCTGCTCCACAGCCTTCCTTGGCTGGAGTCATCCCAAGAAGAGGTTTTCATTACTTTATATCTAGAAATAGCCTTCAGCTTGTTCTAATGATGTCCAGTCACCAATTTGAAGAGTGCCCTTAAATGTCCACCAGTTACTTCTGGAACTTCATTCTTGCAGCCAGAGAACAAACTGCCCCCAAAATGCTGCAGACTGGCTGACACACAGCAGTGCTACTGCCTGCTGATAAAGGTGTGAGTTTTAAGACCATCAGCAAGGAAACTGGAAAGCAGTGGGACATGAGGCTTCCCATTGGGGTCAAACTTGGGTTTGAATCTTGCTGTGTCATTTAGAATGCTTTTGATTGCAAGTAACAGAAAAACACGTGAAACAGGTTTAACACCAAAACTTGGTGGCTGATATTGGAGCAGAGGAGGAGCACACTTCCAGGTTGGTTGTTCCAATAGCCAGTGGCTGTTTTACTCTCCACTCAGCTGTTTCAACTCCATCCTCAGACTGATTTCCCCAATTCCCCTCAAGGCTGCAGGCCATCTCCAGTAACAAGTAAGGCTAACTGCTTACTCATTAAGGGCCAGCTGGATAAAGAGATGGACAACTGCTCTCCACCAGTTGTCACACCACCAGTCAGATTGACTAGGGGAATGTCCTGCAGTGATTAGCTGAGGTCTGGTTTATCTGAGCTATCCAATGAAACCAAAAGAAATAGGATTACCAGGATTGTTTTAAATCAATTACAGTCACTCAATGGAGTTGAGGATAGAGCTAATCACACCAAACCAGAAGTGCACCTGGGGAAAAAGAAGTGGATACTGGGGAAACAAATATAACGTTCACGATACTGGCTCTGCTGTTTGTATTCTCTTGGCCTAATCTTTTAACACCTCTAAACCTCAGTTTTATCATTAGTAAAAGATCACCTCGGTATCGACCTTCCTGGCTGTCGTAGAGACTGGGAAAAACAGGATCATAAAGAGCTTTGCACTGGGCCTGGCACACTGTAAGGGCTCAATAAAAATTATGAGGGAGAAGATAAGTGAAGGGAGGTGCCCATTGCACTTAAACATGACATTCTTTACAAGGCTTGTTTCAAGTGTGTCTTTTTCCTTAGCTTATGCACGTTCAGTGGCTATAAATGAACAACAAAGACTTTGTTCAAAAACACCATTTATAAAATGACTTATCAGGATATCATTTAAGTGAAGAAACTCAATCTAGGCTGTTCTAACACATGCAAAGAATATCTCTGAGTAGTGAGTTTAATACTACTACTAATAATGTTACAACCCAAAAGATGAAAAAAAGAAAATGAAGATAGAAGAGTAGTTACAATTTATTGAGCATTCAAGGTGTTATACTAAGCAGTTTACAGGCACTGCGAGCCCTTGACATTGATTTTATTATGTCTCCGCCTTCAATTGTAGGATCCTCTTGAGCTGGCTAGAAGGCTAACCATGCATATGAGAAACACGTTTACAGAAGTTGAAGAGTTTGCCCAAAGGCAATAGCCATTAAGTAACAAAACCTGGATTTGAACCCAAATTAATGACTCCAAAGTTTATTTCATGTTCTCTATACCAAAACCACTTGTAAGGGAGGGTATCCCATTCATTCATGTATTTGTTCATTAATTCACTCACTTGAGGTCTCAGCAGATGGTCCCAGAGCCCCTGCCCCAGCTCAGACACTACTTGGTGTTCAGAGATGGGAAGATGAATAGGACACAGAGATACTTTCAAGATCTCCACAGTGTCTACATCCTGGAACACCTGGCTTGTTTTTAGGAGTTTCCCAGGGCAAGAGTTGTGAGGGGCAGGGTTTTGTGCTCTTTTCTCGGTCAAATGAGAAGCGTTGGATCACTGAGGGTAATGGAGGCTGGCAGGGGGCTGCTCTCCCCCAGTTTCCTCCACCATTTGCTTTTCCCAATAAGACAGTTTAATCTTGTGATATCTCCAGGTAAAAGCATCGGGACCTCAGAGGTCACCTTAACTCTCCATAATCCTCCTCCAAAAAAATAATTGTTTCAAAGGGAAATGGAATGACCAGCCAGATTCCTGTATTTCAGAATCTGGACTAGACAACATGAATGGGTCTCAGTGTTTATATTGTCAATTCTGTTCAATTCATGCAGCTGTGCCAGGGTGGCTTGTGTGCTGCAGATAGGGCTAGGTGCCAGGGATACATTAATATGTCAGCATCATGGGTACACAGGCTTGCAGAACAGACAAGCAGATAGAGAATATGGCACATATTCTAATAAATTCCTGCCTGGTATGCCTCAACGTGGCTGAATAAGTTGCTAAGATTTGTGTTACATTTTGGAAAATAAGTCCAAACTGATTGGTAAATGCCCTCCTGCCTGCCCATGATCCATCCATCCACCTGCCCCCTGGATGCATCTTCTACCCTTCCTGCCCTGACCCTTTCTCCAGGATCACTCTCCTCCAACTATGCACCCACTTGCCCATGACCCAAAAACTGAATCTTCTAAATCCCTCCCCAGAACCACAGTAGTCCTCTGTTTTGATGAGTCCACATCTGTGCCAGAACAGTAAAAGCTAAATTGTCACCCCTGAATAATGACACATACCACAGGCTTCCTGGGAGTCCAGGAATGGGGAGAAAAAGTTGGGACCAACCAAAAGGGAAACTGCCTCTGAGAACACATACTGGTAGAACATTTTTGCTTCCTTGGATCTCTGACTACACTTCAATCATGGTCCCAGCACTTCTCAAAACTCCTCTCCTTTTCTCCCATCCTGCAGCCATCCTGCTCTGAGGCTCAAGGCAGCTGCTTACTGCTGAAGTCAGTCAAAAGGTGACAAGATGCATCTCAAGCATGGGGCTCCCAGAAGATGGGGTCTGCCTCCAGGGAATAAGCTTCTGTGTGCACTTCGGTTTTGGTTTTTGTAGAAAATAAAGGGCAAGCAAGAGGCTGGGTTCCTTTTAACTGATGATGGAAGCTCTAACTCTTAGGATGCTTTTGTCTGCAAGTTAAAAAACAGAAAGATTCAAATGACTTAACAGAAGGGAAAATTCAAAAGAAGAGCAGTGTGGATCCCAGGCTTGATTCAACCTGTGTCCCAGTGACCTCAACAGGGTTCCATGTTTCTCCCATGTCTGCACTTTGCCCCTCTCAGCTTAACTTCAGCCTCAGTCAGGGCCCCTTATTGTTGCAAGATGGTGGGCAGTATACAAAAGCTAAAAAGCTGTATTTTTCTGGTGTTTCTGTCCTTAGAAAGAGGAAACCTTTCCCAGATGTTCCCAGTTGGTGTGCTGGTCTATCTCATAGTCAGAAAGGGGTCACATGTTCACCCCTAATTAATGGCCCATGAAGGGATTGCAGCGACCATTGCTGGCTTTTAAAATCAAGATTCACCCTTAGAGTTGGAATAGGAATCTCTCTCCAAGTGTCACAGGGATCTGCTAGCAAATGAATGTCATGGGCAACCAGTAATTGATGCTACCAGAGCCTACTGGAAAGAGAAAGGCCGAATTAAAGCAGATAGTGTTGGTGAACAAGGTGGAGTGCATGAGAGTGTGTCACTAGTGACTAGAGGTTAAAGGCAAAGGGCTTTGGGGTAAGGAAACCTAATTTAGAGTAATAGTATTACCTGGGCCATTGTTGCAGTTATTTATTACTGTATAACAAGCACCCAAACTTCGGTAGCGTAAAACAACTATCTACTATTGCTCACTGTTCAGCAATCAGTTTGATGATTCTTCCAATCTGGGCCAGGCTCATCTGAGTTCATCTGGATTCTCTCCTATGTCTTCAGGAGGCTGCCTGGTCTAGGACACTCTCTGCTAGAATGGCTTATTGGCTCCACGTGGTCTCTCATCCTCCAACAGGCTAGTCCAGGCTTGTGCATCTGGCAGCCCAGCAGTTTCCAAGAGAAAAAGCAGAAGAGCGGGAGGTCTCTTGAGACCTAGGCTCAGAACTAGGACATTGTCAGCAAAGCCTGGTTCTATTGTCCAAACAGAAGCCATAAGAACAGTCAAAAGCTGTGAAGTCACATTGTAGAGTGTGGATGCCAGGAATAATGAAGAATTATAACCACTTTGCAATCAATCTACCACAGTGATATTTGAAACACGTTTCTCTTCTTTGCACCAGTTTCATAATAAAGGTATCCACCTCAAAGTCTTGAGAATTAAATAAGAAAACACATATAAATTACTTAACATAGCGTTGGGCACATAGTAAGCACTAAAAACGTATTAAAGTATTAGCTCTCATTATGTTTGCATATTGATGATCACAACACTAGTTTATTTTAATGCTTATGATGATATCGAGTTTCTGTCTGCTGGGTTTTAACTCCCTTTAGGATATAGGTCTAGTGAAACTGTGTCCAAAAAAGTCTAGCCTTTGTGGAAACACTCGTTGGCAGAGCAGAAGGCTACTGATCAGAGTAGGGCAATTGTTAAAAGAGTTCCCCATCTGCCTCCCCATGCTGTTTGGTATCACTCTCCTTAGATTTTTGCTGTGCTGGCTGCTGGGACCTCCCTGAGCTCCTTGTCTGTTCCTCAATTGGAACTCTCTAAGGAACTGTAGTTTCACACTGTGATTTCAGCAGAAACCAAGAATTTTGGCCAGCATTGCCCCCTGAAAGAGAGGAGCAGGCTTCATTCCTGCGACAGCTGACTTTCTGTTCCTTTCTGCTGTTGCTTCTGTGCCCCGTGCTGAACTCCCTGGAAATGATCACGAAATTCAGGGTGGCCAGGGTGGGCAGAGGAAGTAGAGGAGACATCTCCCGGCCTCCTCTCATGCCTACTCCTTGTCAAGTCTCCAAGAATTAAAACCAGCTGGCAATTTCTTGGAAAAAGAGAATCGGTCTCTTACATCTTGAGAAAAGAAAAAGAGTGTTTTCTCTTTAATGGCTATTTTGTTCCTGATGATCCCAGCATTCATGCCCCACGCAGACTCTGAACAGGCGCAGGAGCTCGTTCCACGAGGCAGCCTGCTAACTTCATTTGCCACCACAGTTTTCCCATCTGCTAAGGGATGCACCCAGACAATTTTCCATGTATAATTCACAGTCCTTTGTAATTTAGGCTCAAACAGAATCAACAGCTTGATCAAGATGCCATGGCGAGGATTTCAAGGGCAGCACTTCCACTGTCTCCCATCTTTTGTGAGTGCCTCCTTTCTACGGCCCGTTCTCTGCGTCTCATTGTCTCCCATCTTCTGTGAGTGCCCCCTTTCTACGGCCCGTTCTCTGCGTCTCTGTTTCTCTCTCCTCCTACCTTGTCTCACAGTCCCTCAGAATTTTTATTTGTCCTTCCCTTTCATTAAGCACAGTATTTCTGCCTTGCAAACGTGCAGGTCTAACAAGATTCCTCCTGTCGATTACGCAGCATTGTTGGTCCCCAACTTGCTAATTGCAGCCCCCACTCCCACTTCATCTGGCCAAGGCTAAGACAGATGCTCAATTTGCATTCTTTATGTCTTTTTCTCTGTGTTTCTGGTGATGGCTTTTGCATAACATATGTAAAATTTTGCTGATATCAAGAATTCATTTGGCTTGAAATATTCAAAAGATAATGAAGAATTGGGAGGTGGGGGGGACCTGGTTTGTGTAAACTCAAAAACCATCAGACATCTTTGCTCTCATCTGTTTCTTAGAAAAAAGTGGGCGTTTGCTCCTAGCATTGGAAGATGGCTTTTCATGAGGGTTCTCAGGATTACCCTGGACAGTCAGGTGAGCTCTTTTGCTTAAAGAGCTTTGGTTCCATTTGGGCAGTCAGTACCCTTCTTTTGAAAGGGCAGAGCAAGGGACCAAGGCTCATTTTAAAGTTCAAACACAAGCCCATCGCCACATTGCAACTACAGCTGAAGAACATCAGAGCAAGGATATCTCAGACCATGCCTAATTTGATCTCCACGTTTTGTCGAGGAAGAGACTGAGGCTCAGAAACAGACAATGATGGTTCACCAAGGTCACAGAACTGCCACCAGCTAGTTCTGTGGTATGTCATTTTATTTGGCCCTTAAATTATCTCCAATAAAACAGCAACATTAAAGGGATCAGTCACTACTCTAAGCACTTTGCATATATTATCTCATTTAATCCTCCTAAAATACCCATTCACAGGGACTTCTTACTATCACCCTCGTTTCATAGATGAGACGACTGGGGCACAGAGAAGGAAAATAACTTGCCTAAAGTCACACTGCAGTAAGTAGCAGAGTTGGGATTCAACCCCAGGTAGCCTAGTTTAAGACTCCCCGATTTAACCACTCTGTTCTCCAACCTCACTGAGCTGCCCCATTCCCCATAGAATAATGCCCAAATTTCTTATTTTGCAACATAAAGCCTCTACTCCCAGAAAATCAGCCTGGTATTGGGAAAGGCAGTCTAGTGTTGGCAGTCTTGTGACTCCTGCTTGCCCATATAAGAATGGGCCTTGGGCCTAGAGCTCTTCCTTACCAAGAGGTAGGGGACCTCACAGCCTGTGCTGGGCCCGTCACCTTGTGCAGGAATCTTCTTCTATTTCAAACTTAATGAATGCACCTAGACTGGTCAGGCTCATGCATCGATGGCCCTCAGGTATGCCCCCTCATCTGCCCCCCCACACCCCTTTTCTGCAATTCAGACCCCCCATGGGGAAGAGGGAGTGGTCCTTCTATTCTCCACAAAGTAGGGTGCACGTAGCCACATCACCCGCTTTTGCTGCAGGGTGGATCGGTGGACCTAGGGGCAATGCACTGCCAGCTGGATCTCATGCACACTCTCTCTACTCTCTTGCTGTACGAGAATTGAATACAGAGCTGAGGAGGCTGGTGTATGTGTGCTCCGCTTGCAGTCTCTAATCATGCACTGGTCTCTTCCTCAGGTGGCCTTTTCACCTTGGCTGTACCTATTATATTCTATTCTGCCACACAGCCTGACACCCAGGAAACTGTTTACTGAAGCTGTTATTCTGAGGATGACTTTTTGGCTATTCATATGCATTCACTTTTCTTTGGGTACAGCACAGATTTTCTCCTGGAGAGATACCCTTGGCTCCAGGAGAAGGCATGTGACTCAGGACTGGCTCATTGGAGCATCCCATTCCATGTATGAGCTCGGTATGTGCTCCCCTCAGAGCCAAGAGCTGGAAAAAGACTTGCTTTTGCTGTCAAGAGAGAAGCAAGATTCTCTCTTCTTCACCAGAGCTCCCAGAGCTAAGGACATGAGGTGGGAGTTGTCCACAGTCATAGCAAGAATGAGGACACTATGGGCCAGATTAGAGCTAAGATGGAGAGGTGGAGAGACACAGGGTCTCTTTGATATTCTTTTAGCTCTTACCTCAAGCTGAACCCAAAGCCAACTACTCTCGAGATTACTAAATTCCATGAGCCAGGCATTTTCTTTTTGCTTAAGCCAGTTTGATTTAGGTTCTGTACTTGAAATGAAAACTCTCAAATGATTACTAAGCTTCACCAAGTTCTTAGTCTCTCCACCTGGCCCTGCTGCCTCAAGCTCTCTCCTCTTTGAATTTCCTTGTTTCTCAAGATGAAATGCCAATAAGAAGATGCAAGTCAAGCATCTTGTTGTATTTTGCCTGTCTCCCTCCTCTACAGTGAGAGAGAAAAAACAAATAAACAAAAACACCTAATCTGCCTTATTCTCAGTGCTGTATCCCTGGTGCCTTGAATAGGTCCTGGGACAGCAATAGGCACCCAACAAATATTGTTGAATAAATGAATGAAGCTTTCCCTGATCATCTTCCCTCTCCTCTCTTTATGCTAAGTTGCTCATCGCCTATCAGACAGTGTTACATTATTCAAGTTACATACTCGCTTTCCCAAATTATGAATTATTTAAGGGAGCTGATACGTCTTCATATTTCCCATGCCTAGCAGAGTTTCTGGCATACTGATTTTATTTCATTAGCTCATAAAATTACTCCAGCAAGGGCTCTTATGCTCTGATACAACCCACGATGTGCCCAATCCTGACACTGCCTCTGTAGAAGTGGTCCACACTCCAAATTGTCCCTCTCTATACCCTCTACCTGTTCACTCCTCTGGTACCTGTCCTCACCTTCTACTAGGAGGACAGGCATGGACCGCTATGAGACTTTAATACTTTTCGCAGGATGCTTGCATTATTAAACAGGATGCATATTACTCCAAAGGGTGATTTCTTATCATGAAATAAGTATGAAATATTACTCTTATTACTTCAGAGGGTAATTTCATATATGACATTTCAAGCAGAGAGGTCAAGTAGGGTGAATAACTGCAGACAGCATTGGAGAGCTAGTGTTGAGCACTTTAAATTAGAACCCTCAACTGGCTCTCCTGAATGTCTGTCCTCAACCTAAAGAGATTGCTGGAAAAGCCAGAGCAGCAGTCTAGTGATGCCCCAGAAAACAGTCTTTCCCATGAGGTCAAAAATAAGAAATCATTTCAATATCTGCAGGGAAGTGGAGCTAAGGAACAGTAATCATCTGCTGGTTGTGCCACAAACTTCTGTTTCCTTTTGTTTCTCACTCCCTTTATGACCCTTTCTTTCTTCCCACTTTTTATTTTTTATCTTCCTCTTGTCACAAAACACTTTCTTCAAATACTTGAAGCATACATTTAATTTGGTACAGCTAGCTACACATTGATACAATCTCTTGTGCAATTTGGAGAATGGATTTCCAAACTTTATAAGAAAGAACAAGCCCTTTTCCTTCTCTCTCAGAGAAGGAAATGTTCTCGGCTAAGAAAATAACCGAGCCTTATTCATATAGTAATCTTCAGTTTTTTCTCTCAAAAACTAAGGGAATGTCCATCAAAGGCCCAAAGAGGAGGAAGAATATTTGGAGAGAGGGATCTAGAGGAAAGAACCAAGGAATATGACATGGAATTTGTGGAGATTAGGCATATCTATCCAATTACAGCACAGGAAATCTCTCTGCTCTTCTTAAAGAGCTTGGGTAGTCCTGTCTGAGAGACTTAAGGCTCATTTCAGGAGATGTATCTGTGTTTCAGGGCAACAGACATGCCTGTAACTCCAACTGCAGAGGGGACTCAAGTAGACAAGCCCGTGGCCACCCTAGGTATGTTTTATATGCCTCCCTCCACTCCCCAAACAGTATTGCCCTTCTATGAGACCTGGGATGGCAATGGCCACCACTTCTGACACTGCTGAAGGTCCCCTCCGCATATGTACTTCTCAGACTTGGGGAAATACACAAAGAGAAGTAGAGGCTAGATCCTATTTCAGTTCTCACTTCTGTAGTTGGTCAGGAAGCCCAACACGGTCATCACAGCTGCCTTCTCCCCACCCTTTCTATGTTGTCTCTACCCCCTGCCAGTAACTCAGCCAGGTAGGCTCTTAGCTGATCGGATGAACAAACGTTCAATCTGGGATGATCTGAGTGCTTGATAGCCTTGGCCTTACTGTGTTGCCTCAGTTTTCCATTGCCAGAGATTATTGGGCAAGGGAGGATGGCGCTTGGATTGAAAGGCAGATACAGACTTAAATTTGAAAGGTTGAGAAAGGTATGCAAAGAAAGCGTTATTGCCTAAAAGAATTTCACCAGGAAGTTGAAACTGGGTCTGATCATGCTTCTAGGTTTAACTAATAATTTACTGGGAAACACAGGGGAAGGGGAGCTTATATTTTTAATACATTGAGAAGAAAAGTGTAGGAAAGATATTTAAAGACTAAGAAAGGCTAGGAGACTTAAGAAACATACAAACCAATTGCCATGTACGAACTTTGTTTGAATTCTGATTTTAACAAACAGCCTCTTCCCTCTCATTCAGAGGTAAATATTCAGTACTTTTACTTTTCATGTTTAATAGTTTTATCAAAGTTTATAATATATTGTCATTTGTCAAATATCAGTGGTAGAATTTTCTTAATATAAAACATGAGTGTAATGAATAACAATATTAATTTCAAATTAGATACATATTTTTGTTGCAGAGAAGTAAAGCAAAGTGTTCAAGAAGAGTCTTTTAAGCATGAAAATACATTTCATTAAGATAAAATCATAAGGGAGAAGTAGCATATAAAGAATGCATTTATAGAGATAAAGAAATGTAAAGTTTCAAGAGCTTGTTTCTATACTTTTTAAAAATAATGAGATAGGCATCAAATTGTTATGATACTTAGATTCTGGATACATTTAAAAGAGTAATATAGGCCAGGCACAGTGGCTCATGCCTGTAATCCCAGCACTTTGGGAGGCCGAGGTGGGCAGACGATCATTAAGGCCAGGAGTTCGAGACCAGCCTGGCCAACACAGTGAAACCATCTCTGCTAAAAATACAAGAGATTTAGCTGGGCATGGTTGTGCATGCCCGGAATCCCAGGTACTCAGGAGGCTGAAGCAGGAGAATTGCTTGAACCCGGGAGGCAGAGATTGTAGTAAGCCGAGATCACGCCCCTGCACTCCAGCCTGGGTGACAGAGCAAGACTCCATCTCAAAAAAAAAAGAGTAATGTAACAGTGGAAATGCACCAGAAATTGTGACATTCATAACTGTCAAACATGCCAGAAATTGCATCCTTTGTAACTCTTAGAACTTGTGATTTAAAAATTTCGAAGCTAACTTAAAAGTGTAACAGGGTCCCCAGTTGCAAAATTCTTTCAAGGGAATCTAAGAAAAAGAGATTAAGAATCCTTGCTGAATCCACTGATGCTCAACAATTTTTTTTGGACTCGAGTTTGTTTTCTTGCATTAATACCTATCTACTCTCCTCAGAATGCATTTTAGGAAGAAAAATTTATATACTCTAAAAGTCTTTTATTGCTGCATTGGTACCAAGAAGATTGTGCTTCTTAGCATCATTTATTCATCATTCATTTACTTAATAAATTTCAGTTGAGCAGATACTAGTCTCAAAAACCTATGCCAGGTCCTAGGGAAATACCCACTGGAATCAGGTACAGATCCTCCTATTAAAGAGCCTGGCAGTGGATGAATTCTTAAGCCCTGACCTTATTTGATGCAGTCAGGTAAGCCCAGTGAGACTCTTGCAGTCACCTCCCGAAAACTGAAATGGTCTTGAGAGTCTTGTACAACCATTTTTGAAAATAAGTAAAAAATAAAAAATGACCTTTCAAAAGGTATGTTCCAAAATTATAATTCTACTCTTAATTGAAATTGCTTCTTGGTTCTCTGGTGGCACCTCTGAAAAGAAAAACTAGAAGCCAATTTATAAGGTTAATATCAGAGATTCTATCCTTATTACCGGTAGAAGAGAAAAAAAAAAACTTAAGTAGAACAGGCTATGGAGTGATATCAATAATCCAGATCTGTCACTGCATGCCCCTAGACTTTGCAGTTGCCCCAAAGATTATGTGTACATGGAGTTCCGATCTGAATATGATTTATCTGCAGCAGTCTGACCAGCTCTGTTGAACAGAGTCAGCTATATTTTTGGGGGCTTAGAAGATGACATTAATATTGCTCATATTTATCACTGTGAGGAGACATGGAGTTGCAAGCTGCAATTCAGAGGTCTGTGGGTACAGAGTCACAAGTGTATACTGTTTTCTGATGTATGAATGATGCATGTGTTAAACCCAGCAAGCTTTATTTAAGGAATTTTTTACTCTTTTATGTATTTCTATCCACCTGCCTTCCTTAGCCTACACACATTCACACACTCATTTGTCCATTCTTAAGAAATAATCCCTTCTTTGATTATTCAGAGAAAAGTCCCTGTGTGACTAGAACAGTGGGATGCAAAAATCACTATTTCTTACTGAATAGTACGCTAAGCCTGACTCCTGCAGGGGTATGTCTACAGGATGCAGTTCTGCAACTCTGATTTTTGTTAGTTTTGTGTTTTGTTTTGTTCTCAGCAATCAGAAGAGCAATTGCTCACCTATTCTCTCAGCGATTACTTAAAACATTAACAAGGGATCCAGCCCATTGTTCTCAGAGATGGGCTCTAGGCATTATAAACCAGACATTTCTGCTTATCAACATTATTCACTCACTCATTCAACAAATGCTTATCAACCACCTGTGGTATGCAGAGCCCTGGGCCAAGCATTAGGGAGAATTGTCTGTATTTCACAGATTCTGAAGCATTTATTTTTCAACATTTGAATGTCTCTGAATATGAGTTTACTTGGCAAGGCTTTTTTCTTTCTTTCTTTCTTAATGGTACCTAAAATAATGCTGACTTACAATCAATGGCCTCTCAGATTTGATGAAATACTACATTGTCCATGACATCTCTGCTTTCACCAGAAAAGGGATTATACAGAATAAGAGGAGGTAAAACTCAACTATCAGCAGGCTTTTCACTGATCATCAACTTATAGACCAAGAGAAGTCTGAGCTTCTGTGGTTTGAAGATGATCTGTGTGTTTTGTTTCCTCATGTCCTCCCTGGCCTTACGAGCTGTCGTAACTTCATATGGATCACCTATCATTATCCTATAGTTCTTAAACTCACAAATTACTTTTTTATTGATGGTGTGTGTGTGTGTGTGTGCGTCTGTGTGTGTGGTGCTTTCTAGAAAATAATTCATTAGGAAATTGATTTTTCATCGTTATTGAAGCCATAATTTGAGGAGACTGTTTCTTAGAATATATCTATAACATGCCAGTGGAAACTAGTGAAAATATTTTTATTAAAGCAAAAGAAAGGGTTCTTTGTTTTCCCGTTATTCATCCAAACATTTACAAACTCCCTGTGATGGATCAGACACTGATAAGTACTGTTAGGAGACAGTGGCAAATTGGATACAGTTTTTGCCTTCAAAGGACTTACAATTAAAGGAAGGGTAAAACCTGTAACTACCAATGCTCACATAAGGAAGAATGAGTCCTGGGACCAAGATCTAAGAATATCTGCATGAAATCTGCATCATTCCATGGCACTACATCTACTATTAAATATAACAACAAAAACGCTGTCCTTTCCTTTCCTCGGAAACACGGCTGCATCAAGGTCTACCCACATAGACCAAAGAATAATGTCTCAAAACAGCTCTTCCATGGTTGATATACAGAGACAACTCCTATCCCTTCACAGGCAGAAAGGACCTCATATTTTGAAAACTTTACAATGCACCAAGTTTTCCATGCCTCATATACCTGCTGTCATTGGTTTGTACCCACTAACTGGTATTACTACTGTGGTGGTTTCTACTCACTGATCTGTGTTTCTACCCAGTACGCAGGTGCTCCCCTGTTCTCCTGACCCCTCCCTCTCAACTCTTTTAATTGACTTTCAGAATCTTGCACCTTTAATTCCCTCATAAAATGCTCCCTCTCCTTTATTTGAACTATAGGCTCTGTAAGGACAGGAACCAAGCCTGGGTGACACAGTAGACAATTGAGAATACCTTTTACTTTGTCAAGGAAGGGTGAGAAAGAAGAGAAAACAGCTTCTCAAATACTGGAGTTTAGGAAACTGAAAAAAGCTTCAGGACACCCACAGACCAGGAAATTTTACCATAGAAGGCTGAAAAGGTTCAACCCTGGGTTTCCTCTCCTGAAAGTATCTGAGAATATGAATCTTAATCTTCTTTTTAGCCCCAGCATACATGACAGTTGATATTCACATAATAACAACAGATGGTTGTGGGCAAAGTCAGTTTATCTGGATTTCTCAAATTATCGACTTTCAAGCCACCTTTCTGTCCTACTTGCTTTGCAAGTGATTAAAAGTGAAGCTAATAAAGAGATAATATTGAATCCATTCTAATCTATGGGGGAAAAGTAAACCCACTTGCAGATTTGGTATTTCATATTTAGTAACATGCCTCTTCAGACAAACCAGTCTGTGGATGCTCCAACACTGATTCAGCCCCTGGCCCGGCACACCCTCAGGACAGCTTAGCTTGCTGGCCATCCCCTGCCCCAAGACCCAGAAGTCAGAATCTACAGCAACAGGAGCTCTTCCTGCAGCTGGGACCCAGAAACAGTTCTACTTTCTTATTTCAATGCATAAAGGATCTGTAAACAAGAGGAACAAAAGGAAAAGCAGAAACATTATCAACATGAAAAGAAAACCATCCATTCTAAATATGTTCATTTATTTAAAAACACAAAGCTTTATTTCCAGTATATCGAGGTTTATGGTGCCTAATTTTTAAAGCCTCCCATCTTGGGAAGCAAGCTAATAACATTGGTTGAGTAACATGACCTGATTCATCATTCTTCTTCTAGTGATGCAGTCAATGTTTGTAGTTTATCTGAAACTCAAATTGAACTGGGTGTTTTGTATTTTATCTGGAATCTTATCCCTAGAGACCGTTGCTTGAGATTCACCAAACACTACTTCTGATCACAAGGATTTGAAGAAATAAGTACTTAATATGGTGGCAGTTCAAGTACTAGGCAGCCTATCAAGAAGGAGGATTGGGGACCTCTTAGCATCTCAGAAATCACAATACAAGCGGGGGCTCTACTTGCCTATATAGAAGGTGACCCACATTATCATAGGTGAGAAGAGAAGGCAGCCAGCAACAAAATAAAAGATGAGAGGAAAGCCAAGCACTTCCAAGAACTACAGTGGATACCATTTTCTGGGTCCTGTACTAGGTCCTCTGTGCCACCCAAGAAAGCTAACTCTGTTCAGTCCCCTTCCCTCCTGAACCTCTGAAAAAGTAAAGAATAAGACTATATAGTTCAGTGGCTTGAAAGCCATAATATTCTAACAGAGGCTCAACTTATGTTCAGCATTTTTTTCTTTTGCATCCCAATCAGAGTCGGGACTTTCATGCAAGTTCTCTTAAAGGAAGGTAAATACTTACAGGTGGAAAAAAGGATACTAGGAGCCTTGATAAGCTCAAAGAAACAGTTAAATTTGTGTGTGGAATTTTTTTTTTTTTTGAGATGGAGTTTTGCTCTTGTTGCCCAGGCTGGTGTGCAACGGCGTGATCTGTAACCTCGGCCTCTTGGGTTCAAGCGATTCTCCTCCCTCAACCTTCTTAGTAGCTGAGATTACAGGCATGTACCACCACACAGGGCTAATTTTGTATTTTTAGTAGAGATGGGGTTTCTCCATGTTGATCAGGCTGGTCTGGAGCTCCCTGCCTCAGGTGATCTGCCTGCCTCAACCTCCCAAAGTGCTGGGATTACAGGTGTGAGCCACTGCGCCTGGCAAGTGTGTGTAGCATTTAATCACTATATCTGGAATATATAAACATGGCACATATTATCTTTGCCACATCCCCCACCCCTTGCTTTTTTTGTAGCCTCCAAAATTTGATCCAAGTCTGGGAGTTAAAAAGTCCCATTTTGTGTAATCAGGTTCTGGTTGAACATGATTGCTGAATTATTTTAAATTGAAGACACATGTCTGGGGGTTGAGCTGTATGTATTATTTCAGGATGGTGTCCATTAGGGCTTATCCACAGGGGCTATCTTCAACTTTTGCCACATTCACTGCATTCTTTATACAACAGTATCTTCGAAATGGTGAATCATGTATAAGGGACAATTGGAGGGAATATGGTACTCATTAAATTGTGATTTTTTTGAAAATTATCCTGAATTCATTATTCAAACATGTTTCCAGTCTCCCCTGCTAAGGGTCCCACTGTCGATTGGAAAAGTTCTGCTGGGGGGAGCAAAAAGAGTATTTTAAAGTCAGTAACAATCCGTAAATAAATAAAATCCTACAGTTGTGCAAGGCCCTTTTGCAAGCCTAAATCTTTGAGGACTTTACAACTGAATCAACATTTACTTTAACTCCTTGTCAGCCCCAAACACTTTAAATGTCTTAATTGCAGATCTAAATCATTGCGGCTGCCATTGCTTTTTCACTCTGAATGCAGATGTCCCTGAACCGAGGCTTTGTCAGACTTCACCTTGTAAGAGCAGCCTGTCTATTTAATAAATCGTTGCATCATGTCAAGGGCTCCTGCCAGACTTGAAGGTCACCCTTCATGAGGAGCAGTCAGGGTGAGGAGAAATGTATGGCTGAATTCGTCTGGTGGCCCAACCACACTAGACATCCCTCTACTCCAAAGATGTCCTTCCTGCTAGGAGCTGGTGTGTCTGCTACATGGTTGTTCATTTGCACAGTCTTATGGAGGTACTATTTACGTACCATAAAACTCACTATTTTGAAGTCTATAACTCAATGATTTTTTTCATAAATATTCAGAGTTGTGCAACCATCACTACAATCTAATTATAGAGCAATTCCATCACCCTGAAAATAAACCTTGTGCCCATTTGCAGTCCCTCCCTGTTCCCACTTCTGGCCCATGGCAGTCACTAATTTTTCTGTCTCTATAGATTTGCTTTTTCTGGACATTTTATATACATGGAATCATACAGTATGTGGTCTGACCTTTTTTTACATTGTATAACTTTGATATGTGTTCATGTAGCATGTAGCAATCCTTTTTCTCATTGCAAGTAATAGTCCATTGTGTAGATATACCATATTTTGTTTACCCAGGCAACCACTGATAGGCATTCATTTGGGTCACTTTCACTTTGCCGCTATTATGAAAAAACCTTCTGTGAACATATGGGTATTTTTTAATGAATTGGAGATCAGATTGCTATTGTCATTCACAGTCAACTTTAAGTTGGGCTTAGTCCTCTTTTTTTTTGAGACAGAGTCTTGCTCTGTTGCCCAGGCTGGAGTGCAGTGGCATGGTCTCACCTCACTGCAGCCTCCACCTCCTGGGTTCAAGCAATTCTCCTGCCTCAGGCTCCTGAGTAGCTGGGACTACAGGTGCGCACCACCACATCCAGGTAATTTTTGTATTTTTAGTAGAGACAGGGTTTCAGGATAGTCTCTATCTCCTGACCTTGTGATCTGCTTGCCTCAGCCTCCCAAAGTGCTGGGATTACAGGCATGAGCCACTGCACCTGTCCAGGGCTTACACTTTTTTCAAGAAGTTACCCATATTCTTGTTAAAGCTGCCTGCCGGAACATTTCAGAACAAAGTAGACTCCTGAGTGCTTCAAAAAATAATATTTATCAGAGTGAGACCCTCAGTGATTCCAGGGCATGAAGTGTTTAAGCATAAGGGAGGGAACCACTGGAAGGAAGTTTCGAGACCAAGAGCAATTTGAAGAGCAGCAGGAGCCCCTTCTATGCCAGTCATGACCCAGAGTTTAAAGAGCTCAGACCCACATGAGCCTGCCACGCAATTGTTCCTTCTGGCAGCCTCAGCACTGCCTGACTTCTGAAAGCCCTGCTGACTTAAATAACGTGGGGGCTACTCAGGGAGAAGCAAAGTTGGAAGTGGCAGGAGAGGTGAACAGGTCATAACACGGGGAACAGAGTTGTCAGGCTTTGTTTATTTTCATGTCTTCTAAGACTTCAGCGACTGATAGGAGAGGCCGGCTATTCTGCCATTGAGGAAGCAGTGTTGTACTTGATGGGGATGCAGCCAGATCAAAAGGCACCCTTCTACATTGCCCCAAATCACCCATCAAGAGCTGTGAAAAATCTGTGTCATGAGAAATTCTTTCCCCAGAAATCACTGTGGAAAGCAGGTATATAAAAGGCAAGCTGGCTTATGAAATGTGATGTTGATCAAAAGGAAAGCTTCACGTCCTGGGCCTGGCACAGTTCTAACTCTGACTGTGGCCTTGGGCAGGTCACTCACCCCCCTGGGCCTCGGCTTCCTCATTGTGAAATGAGGGGGATTGACATCTGGATTTCTGCCCGAGGTTTTTTTATTTCCCCCCACATCCAATATTGTTTCTCTGACGACTATGAAAACTTATACTTTTGAAACCCATATTTAAAAGTGAAACCAGTATCATCATTGTGTTGGCAATCAAGCTACTGATGTCAAGAGGCATGATCTGGAATGCCAACTGTTGAGTAATTAGCACAAAGGCCACAAGGTTTCTAAAATGTCACACAGCTTCCCAGTGGCACCCCTACTCCATTTTGTAGATAGGAAAATTGTGGTTGATTTTTCTACATATTGTCTTGCAGGTTGTTTGGTTTCTTTGTGTTGGAGTTGGGAATGGACCCAACATTTTAGGGCTTCCAGAGCTTTACTGTATCAATTAATCCAGACTGCCTAGAAGCAAAGAAAATAATCATTCAAGAGCCTACATAAAATAAGCCAGCATTAAAAAAGAAAAAGAAAAAAACCTCTGACCCTCTAGCCAAACACAAAAAGCCATATTTTTCTTGTTTTTGCTTTATGGTTTAGGTTCTTATTGGAATGATGAGCTCCTGCTGGAGAAAGGGGGTGAAGGGTGGTCACAGTCTGATAACAAATAATGAGGCTGATGGTCTCCCAAGAAGAAAGAATGCTCCTATTGAGAAGAACATCAGCATGAATCTTTCTCCCTTTTCTGCGGTTGCTTATGTTCTCTCTCGCCCTTGGAGTGATCTAACATCTCTTGGCCAGCCTTTCAGACACAGAGCCAACTTCTGAAGGCTTAACATGCTTTCATGAGGACTTTCAAGTACATATCTTGCTGGAAGCCAGCCATTTCAGTCCACTTCTCTATGGCAACATCCAGCCATGAAGAAGTTGGGGATGCCTGCTCCTTTGAACTCCAAACAGTGAATTCCAGAACCCTAGATTTTGACCATCTTCCAAAGCCAGTGGCCAGCCTGGTAGTGAAAGAAATCTGGGGACAGATGGTATGAAATTGAAATCACATAATCCCTATACTCTCCCAAATGCTGGCCTGTAATGTTGGCAAGTCCCCACAAAGCTCTGTGGCACTAATGCTGGTTTTGCTGGAGGCCTGCATCTTAAATATGGGTGCCTGAACATCAGTGTTGATGAAGAGTTGGCTCATTAAAGAGGAAATGCATCAAGGTCATGTGGTCCCTTCGTGACTGTCAGAGCCACATGTGCATTTGAAGAAGTCCTCATGCCACTGGACCAACGACAAGGTCTCTTTCCACTTACAGACCCATCTGTTGTTGAAAAACTACTGTTATTAGTGAGAAGCCATTCTGAGGTGGAAAGGGAGCCTGATCTTTGGGGGAAAACATTGGTACAGAGGTTCTTTCCTCTGAATATCTGTAAACTTAGCTAAAAGTTACTTCAGAAGAAAAAGCCATCAGTAGCAAGCACTTGGCATCATCAAACCATCCCGACATCCTCTTTTGATTTGCTGTAGATGTCTGGCAACCTCTCTTTGCTTCCCCTCTCTCAATTGTAAGATGGAAATGGTAAGTGTTCATGTTACAAACAAACATTTGCTTGCCCGTGCTGAATTCTTATCAACCTCTGAAGTTACTGAGTGGGGAATGGAAGAAAGTGAGGGGAGAAAGAAGGCCCCTGGTACACCCTGAAGGAGCAGCACAGATTCCAGCTGAAATCTACATGACCCTGGCTGATTGCACTTCTTCCAATCCTCAACTGTTATCAATGCCAGCAACAGTGTATGGGGCAATAGGATGCTTTGGTTGGCATCAACTCCTGGCCTGATGGTGTTATTTTCATGGCAAAATAACACCTTTCCTATATTCTCTCCTTTCCTAAATATTTCAAAATGGTGCATATCATATATAAATCCAAAGACATAAAAGTCATTAGATTCTTCAAGCAAAGGATTTTTAAGAATATACCAAATGACATATTAGATTTCT